TTGGGGAACATGGGAACATGAAAGATTAAAAGAGCTGCCGTGCATCCCACTTCTGCTGTGAACTTGGTAGGTCCCTACTTATGGGCTTTCAATCAGACTTGGGAAACCAATGGCCTAAATCATACTTAAAACAGGACCTCAGAAATGCCTGAACAGTCAGAAATAAATACATGTCATTCTATAGTTTTTTAAAAAAAACTAATTAAAATGACAGCTTAAAAAAATTCTTATTCCCTTTTTTACTCCTCAGACTGTTTACAGAGGTGGTTAGCAGTGCAAGTCTGAACTTGGGCAGAGTAGGCAAGGTGGCACCTTAGAGACTAACTGGTTCAGAGAGACATGAACTTTCATAGGCAATGAACCCACTTTGCCAGATGCTGATGTCAGAGGTTCATCACATAGCATTGGACAAAGTAGGTTTATTGCCTACGAAAGCTTATGCCTCTCTAAATCATTTTCAGTGCCATCCTGCCCTACTTTATGCCTTAAGACTGGTTAGTTTTACTTTTGTTTTCAAGCCACTTGTACCACTGCCCATGAGTCAGAAAGTCAATGACATTCCTTCTGGATTCCCAACACATTGTGGGGGGAACAGGGGGAGCAGGGAAGGGAGGTGCAGAATTTCAATATAACATAGCTTGTTTGTTTAAAAAAAGAAAATGTTTCGTGCTGAAGTTTTCAGAACTGCCTAGGGAATTTTACCCGCACAATTCCGACTGATGATGATGAGAGTTGTCCATTTAAATTCCTTTTGAAAAATCTCGACCTAAAGATTTTCTCTGGAGCCATCAAGAACTGCAATTATTGCATCTTTAAAAGCAAAATCCTTCAGGATGCCATGCTGAGCAAACTACATTAGCTGGAAGCAGTGGAACTGAAGCTAGTTGGAGACTAAATATGCAAATGAAGTGGGCCTGCAAGCAGCTGCAAGGGAGCACAGCAAGTGTTGCCACCTGTCAAGACCATATTAAGTTTCTCATGATGTTTGATTTCCAACCAGTTCCAGTCATTATTTTTGTCTTTTGCAGGTTTTGTGAATCCTGTGGAACATTCAAGATTAGGAAGTTTCATTCACAGGAGCAAGGTACTGCTAAGAATATATACATAAAGTATGAGAAAATTATTGTATGAAAATAGTTTTGGGGGATTCAAGTCCGTGTCCTGACTCGTTTACAGGAAAGGACTATTTAACTGATAAGGAAAAAGGAACCGCTCAGAGGTAGACAGGATTAAGTCTAATAAAATTTTAACATCAATGAAGAAAAAAGGACATCATGTTTCTCTGTGTAACTGCCTTAAGGAAAAGAGCTACCAGTCTGTAGATATTGCCATTTTTGCAAAGACAAAGAAAACTGCAAAGTCTTCAATAACTGTGGCTTTTTCATTTTAAGACTTACTTTTGGCTCACAAGAAAATACACTTTATATTCCTAAACAGAAGCTTGTTTCATCACTAAAAATATGCCAACATGCAAACACAACATGCTTCATCACCTGCTTGTGTATGTGTTGGGGGGGAAGATTAGTGGGGAAAGAGACCTTTTAAATAACATTACTTACAGGCTGAGATTCTTAAAATCATTCTAGGGGGATTGAACACCTACATTCCACTAGATGTGATTAAACTCCTTTGACTGCTTTGAAAATATCATCTTAGTACAAAAAATTAGCTTTGTCTGTCAGGTGCCTGTTACATTATGTCTGTCATCTTGATAGAATTCTAGTTTTTCTGAACAAAGGAATCCATTTTACCACATGAATCCCAATGCATTGCTGAAAGGTACATGGGGGAGAAAGTTCTTTTGTTATCAACTTACATTTCTTCTTAATCACCTTCTTGTAACTGAACTTGATAAGGGTATCCAGGAACCACAGGCACCGTGCCTTATGGTCTCGGCTGCTCTCATCTACAGGCATAGACTTCAGTTCTTCTAGAACAAAGGAACAGGGTCTAGAAAAAAGAGGAGACACGCATTAGAACTTGAAGCATAAGGAAGTGACCACTATTTTTGGCTCATCAAGACGTTTAGACATCCTTACCTTTCTTCTTCTGGCTTCTTAAGGATCTCTTCAGAAGTAAGATTAGTAAGTGCTGCAGCTGGAGCCTGCAGGGCTTCATATTCAGCGGAGGAGATGACTGGAGAAGTTTTAAGAAACAATAAAGAATAACATCGTGCCCTCTCCTCTGAGGATTAAGAGGCTTTCAAACAGTGAATGTCACTACGCCCCTCTGAGACAAGTTAGCAGCATATATGTAAAGGACAGAAAAGAGTTTGTTTTGTCCATTGCTGTACAGCTTACATCAACAATTTACATCAGTGAGGAATGCTGTTTCCAGCCCTGCTAGCTCGGGAAGACAGTCCATGGGTAGGGGAAATGTAATCGTGGGAACTGGGAATTAGATAAGATGCATGCCCCCTGTAGAATCAATTTAGATTTATTCAGAAATTTCTCTTGGCTCACCAGTCCAAATTCTAGCCCTTGCTCTCCATAAATCCATCTGCCATTATAATTGCTTTGGTGCCTACTCAGCAGGTACCATAGGGAAAGCAGAAAAATCACTTACTCTAGAAGAATCAGCCCAAGAAGCAAGACACTGACTTGTAGGTAAATACCTCATAGCAGCATGACAAATCCTCCACCCCCCGCTCATTGTTCATAAAGGGAACTGACTCTCCTCAGCAGACTCATAAAGCACTGCCAGGACCTTCCTTTTCTCCCTGGAGTCTAAACCTTTACCCTGATGTGCTCTGGTGAATTAGCAGCACGATGACCCAAAAAGGATACGGTCCTCAAATCTGTAGATGTTCTCTGGTTTGTCAGCCTCTTCATGACACGGAGGCAGGAAGACAGAGACCTCCTCCACATCGTCCTGAGCTGCATCACTGACCAAAGCTTTCAAAGTAAGAGGGAGACAAGAGTGAATACATGAACCACCGCTAATAAGAAATGGAAGAGAAGTTCAAACCAAACACTTGCTTTTAACTCAAAGGGAATTCCTTGCTTAAAATGTGAGGACTGTGGTCTGTGTAACAGAAGCTTTCTATATGAGTTAATAAATCAACTTCTCAATGATATTTTTCAAAACTTCCATCTTTTTCCTCACTAAGTATAGAAGAAGGCAGGGCAGAGATGCAGCTTACAGACTAACTAATTCACAGATGCATAAGCAACAGGTCACTTCATCAGAAGTTAACCTCTCCCCAAGTAGAGTTACTTACAGTACACAGAGCATCTTGCATATACAGAACACAACAATGCATGTCTGACAACTCTCTGGAAGAGGAATCCAGCTTTTGGTGGGTGTTTGTCCACAGTGGGGCCCCAATCCCTCATTAAAGTCTCTAACACCACAGTAATTTATGTTTAGAAACTTAAGTCATATATATGCTACTCCACAGTTTTATTGCCAGTATTGTCCCTCCACTGCTACTACACCTAAGGATTTGCAATCTCCACTAGGGGCTATGAAGGGAGATTGAGAAGCAATACTTCAAGGCAGCACATAAGAAGAGTCTAGGTTTCTACTGTCCATCTGACTGATCTAAACCTACATTGAAAGAATGGATTAAATGCAGGTTTTAATGCTTCTGGAACAACTGGCCCTTCATGCAGATCTAAATCAGTATCATTCTTAAGAACTTAGCAAGTATTGTCAGCATGTCATAGTCTTTCTATGAGACTAGGTCATACAAAAGATGGGGAGACTGATTGAATCCGGCCAACCAAGCAATCATAGAATCACAGAAAATTAGGGTTGGAAGGGACCTGCTCCAGTGCATTACTACCCTCCTAGTGAGGAACTTTTTCCTAATATCTACCCTAACCTTCCCTTGCAGCAACTTGAAATCAGTGCTCCTTGTTCTGTCATCTGCCATCACTAAGAACAGTCTCTAGCTCTATCCTCTTTGGAATCCCTGTTCAGGTAGCTGAAAGCTGCTATTAAATCCCCGCTCTGTCTTCTCTTCTCTAGACTACATAGGCCCAGTTATCTCAATGTCTCCTCATAACTCATGTCCCCCAGCCCCTTCACCATTTCTGTTGCCCTCCGCAGAACTCTCTCCAATTTATCCACATCCTTTCTGTAATGGGGACCCAAAACTGGACACCATACTCCAAATGTGGCCTTACCTGTGCTGAACAGAGTGGAATAATCACTTCCCTTGATCTGCTGGCAACACTCCTGCCAATGTAGCCCAGTATGCCATTAGTCTTTTTGGTAATAAGGGCAAATGTTGGCTCATATTCAGCTTCTTGTCCACTGTAACCCCCAGGTCCTTTTCTACACAGCTGCTGTTCAGCCAGTCAGCTCCCGGTCTGTCCCAGTGCATGGGACTGTTCTGTTCCAAGTGCAGGACTTTGCACCTGTCCTTACTGAACCTCATGAGATTTATTTTGGTCTAAACCTGCAAACTGTCTAGATCTCTCTGAATCCTAACCCTACCCTCCAGCGTATCTACTTCTTGCCGCAGCTTGGTGTCATCTGCAAACTTGCTGAGGGTGCACTTCATTCCATCTTCCAGATAACTGATGAAGACAGTGAACAAAACCAGCCACAGGACTGACCCCTGAGGCATTCCACTTGATACCAGCTGTCAACTAGACATCGAGCATTGATTACTCCCCTCTGAGCCCTGATGATCCAGCCAGTTTTCTATCCACCTTACAGTCCATTCATCTGACTCATGCTTCCTTAGCTTGCTTGTGAGAATGTTATGGGAGACCATATCAAAAGCCTTGTTAAAGTCAAGGTACACCACATCCACTGTTCTCCCCATATCCACAGAGCCAGTCATCTCATCATAGAAGGCAATCAGGTTGGTCAGGCATGACTTGGCCTTGGTGAACCCATGCTGACTGTTCCTAATCACCTTCTCCTCCAAGTGCTTAGAAATGGATTCTTTGAGGACCTGCTCCATGATTTTTCTAGCAACTGAGGTGAGGTTGACAGGTCTGTAGTTCCCTGGATCCTCCTTTTTTTCCTTTCTTAAAAACAGGCACTATATTTGCTCTTTTCCAATCATCTGGGACCTCTCCCAATTGCCATGAGTTTTTAAAGGTGATGACCAGTGGCTCTGCAGTTACAACTGGCCAACTCCTTCCAGTGCATCCCGTCTGGCCCCATGGACTTGTATATGTCCAGGTTTCCTAAATAGTCCCAAATCTGTTCTGTTGCCAGAAGACTGAGGTGAAAAAGGCATCCAGTACTTCAGCCTTTTCTACATTCTCTGTCACTAGGTTATCTTCCTCATTCAGTAACGGACCCACGGACCAGCACTTTCACTGATCCTCCCTTGTTACTGATCCAGACTGTGAAACTGGGACCTCTTTGACAATCTGGAGACAGGGGATGTCCATGGCATTTCTGGGGAGGTTGGCACAGCTAGGAGGGAAAGCAAGTGGTAGCACTGAGAGCAGTGGTAGCACTTATGACCATGCTGGCTTGCCTTTGGACTTAGCTCTGTTACGACAGCCCATGGCTTCAAAAGACTGCCAATGTCTGACACATTTCATACTCCTGACAAACCTGCCTTCTTCCTCCAATCCTCGGGGTCAGTATACTCTCATAGGATATAGGGGGAAAGAACAGATGCATTGAATCATAAAGGATTCAAAGATTTTTCTCTATTATTCTCATCACTTACCAGCTACACCCTTTGCATCAATGATGTTTTCTGCTGCTTTAGTTACAGCCATATTTAAAGTCTCACTGCCAACTCGGTTCATTCTTCGAGAGTTCAGGGCTCGTTTTTGCTTGTTGGTACCAAAAGCTTCAATGCATGAATCCACCTGTATGAGAAAGAAATGCAAATTATTGTGCCTAGAAAAGAAGGCACACTCTTTGGAAAGCTTTGGAGGGAACCTTAGGGAAAACACATCCTGAATTGGAGAAATTGCCAAGGGGTGGGCAATTATTTTAGCTGGAGGGACACTAAACACATTTTGGAGACCTGTAACTTCCTTTGTCTGTCCTCTCATTTCCTCCCTTCTCCCTCTGCTCCCCACACCCCTCTCCCCGTCTCTCTATTCCCCCCTCCCCAGTCTCTCCTCTTTCCCCTCTGCCTGTCTCTCTCCTCTCCTCACCTTTCTCCTCCCCACTCTCCCCTGTCTGTCTACTCCCCGCACTTCTCTTCTCTCCCCACCATGCTCTCTTCTCACTCTCTCTCCTCACTGCCCCAGGATGGGGGTGGGTCAGCTGTGGATGCAACTAGCAGGTTCTGTGTCTGGGCTCCCAAACCTGCCTGCGGTGTCCACAGCTGACACTGCTGCCCATCAGCTGGGACAGAAGCCCCGCCTGGGTTCACAGCTGATGCCTGATGCTGCTGCATGGAAGCAGTTCTACCTGCCTGGCACCATGCGGAGGCTGGAACCACCAGCAGCCCAAGAGCTAGATCCAATTACTTGGTGGCCATCCACTCATGGGCCAGATCAAATCTGTTGACAGGCTGAATTCTGCCCATGGACCATATTTTGCCCGCCTGGTATAAAAGAAAGTTCACCCTCTTCCTCTCTTGGAATGAAATACATTTCACAGTCAGAGTTATAAGTACGTAAATTCAGCTTTAAATCATCATATAAATATCAACCAGAAAAGAAAATATATTGATTAGCTATATTACAAAAGAGTAATTACTATCACGGGGTAGAAATACGTTAATAAAAATGAATTTAGGACATACAATATCTTGTGAGTAGACAACTCCCATATTGCCCACTCTAGAAAATCTGAACAGTACCCTGCAAATTTATCATTTCATAACCAGACCCAGGTCAGCAAAACTACAGAAGCCCATACATTTTGATGGGATGCAAAACCACTGGTTGGAGCTGGTTGCAGGACCGTGGCCAACAGCCCAGATTAAGCGGGCCATTATCTAATAAAATGGTAGATTAGACATGTAAACAGGGATTTCCTACACTAGCACTAAACTAACCAAATACACAACACAGTGGATGAGCTAATGCTCCTTGTTATTAAGCTCCAAACCATTTTTTTAGCTGTGCACATGCATGAGGGTTTAATATTTATTATTTCCAATAATGCAGCAGTTTGCTATGTTTGCAAAGAGCCTTCTTTGGGGAAAAGTGCTTTTCCTCAACATGCACTGTGAAAAGTCCCATTATCTCTGAGATTATACACCACAAGTTAGACATGTAAATTTATGTTAGAGTGGAAATGTGGAAATGTTAAATTCAGATGACAATTATAGCTATGCTTTGCTGAGGCAAAGAACCAAACCAGCTTCCTATTTTCTAGGTATCAATTTGTGGACAGAGCCTAACAGGAGTGGATGGGGGGAAAGAAGGGCAGAAGGGGTGCATGCACTGGTGTAGTCAATGCCCCCCACCCCTGCCCTTTGATTCCTGCTTCACCAAAAAGCTTAAACCAACTGCCAGCAGTGGCAGTAGCATTTCTATTCAGGCATTACTGAGGCAGTCAATTGACTTTATGGCTCATTATGCTCCACCTGATTCCTATTAATCTCTCTTCTCTCTACAGGTGTTAATGACCCACTCTCCTTTTTAATGGTCATGATGTTCCACTAATCATGATATTCTGCAATTTGCTGCCTGTTAGCCATTCTTGGCAATCTCTCTCTTCCATTAAACACCCCTTCAGACTGTTGTTAGTTCCAGCTGGAAACAAACTCAGGTGTGGTAATATTTACTTAGGAGGACATTAATTCAGGTGTGGAAATGACTGACAGTGCTGGATGCACTGTAAAGATGCTCAACAAGGCTAGATTTTGTTTTACAAGTCTGAATAAGGAATGTACATTTCACTATCTTGACTACAGGAATAATAAAACAACATCTTTTGATTATTTTTGCCTAGTTTATTGTATTTTTAACTTAATTTATAATCAGTGACCATTTCAATAAAATTGTATTTGGTTTTACTTTGATCTTAAACTGAATAACATACTGCTGGGCCCCTACCATATTAATATATCTGCTAGCATCTCTTAACTGGAAAAAATATATTTTATGATACATGTGATAGTGCACTACACAATCTGCACCCCCCATTTCAAAATCTGATCTGCCCATTGAGCCCAATCTGTTGGTGCCTTGTCTAGTGGTTATAGCATGTACAGAACAGGAGCCATAACCCAAATAAAGATAAAGATATTCTATTATGTCTCTTCATAATAACTGCTGAACTTCAGCATAGGTTAAAATGATAACTTACACCCATTAATGACAAAACTGAACACCTCAATCCCAGGCAAATATTACTTACTATGATTATCTGGGTAATTATGTTAGAAAAAGACTGGACTTCAACTTTTACCTTCTCTCTGTAGGATTTATTTTGATAATCTGATAGGTCTTCTTCTATTACATCATCTACAAAAGAACAAAAATTAGTACATGGGTCTAACTGGGTCAGTCAGTAATATGTATGAATTTAGTAACCATGCTGTTATATTTATGTTACATTAAAACTTAGCAAACTAGTTCTCAGTTTGTCATGCTTGACATGATAGCAAATGAGGGCACAAAGGAAACAATTCACTGAGGATAAAGAATATTTTCCTCTCGTTTCCTACTGAAGAACTGCTCTGTCCAAGGGTTATATTATTACCCAGAACGCTGACAACGTAGTCCTCCATATTAAGCACAGGACATCATCACTAGTTTTCTTCGGACAGAAACAAGCTCACGGGTTGCTACTGATGTAAATGCTTCTATCTCCCAGCCTTTTAACCTCCTTTCTAAGTATCACTTCATAGCTACAGTTGTCCCTTTTACCACTCTGTATCTTTCTACACTGTACTTCATTAATGTACTGGAAATAAGTGTATTGTAGGGACTTATTCCAAAAATATAGTCTTAAGAAAATCAATATGCTCTTTTTTTGTCTTACATAACGTAACCAAGGAACCAAGAAAGATGCATGTAACGTTGGATACTTAGAATGTGGAGGAACGGTCACATTCAAAAACAGGCCCCTAGCTAAGTGCAATGTACACCAAGTACAGAGGTACTTCACAGGACCCAGTGTAGTCTCTTCCACCCACCTGACAACAGTGGCTGCATATTGAACAATTCTGCATTATAAACTTCCATCTGTCCAGAGTCCTTGTCTAGCACACCAACAAAGTACCTGTAGGAAATGGTTCAGCATAAGTGAAATATGTTATTAAGATTATATGGCTCAGTACTTTGCATGACCCACTGTTACCACTAAACTGCTCTGCAAAGACCAGTTTTTCAATGCCTACAAACACCTAGAACTTCACAGTAGGAAGATCTATAAAAGCTGCATTGAAGGCTTGATTTTTATACTTGAGAGTTAAAACTAAGGCATTGAAATGAACTCTGAAGCACGCAGAAAGGGTGTCTAGATGTCAAAGTGCCAGCTTCCATTCTACTCTTTCTTTGCTTTGCCTATAAGGACCTCAGTGATTTCTCTAAAAGCAACCCCTGTATGCACAGCCCTTCACTTTGGGAGTCCATGGATTAAGTTTTTCTAAGGCTGCTGGGGGTCAGGACCAGCCACATTCAGTATTTCAAGGACAGTGACATTTAAAACCCTAGTTCTCACACACATTTTTTTGTTTCAATGATATCACAAGTTGTGCAGCTCTTCTGCAGTTTCCTTTGGTTCTTGGAGCAGAAATTCAACATGGTTTATTCTCTGGTTAAAAATGCATCTTTGCCTCTATGCCTGGCAGCTTCCCAGAAAGTGACTCCATTAAGGAGTTCCAGGTCCTTGTCATTTCTTTTAAAGTGATTCAGAAATACCTTCCTTCACAGCTCCATTTCAGAGGAGATAAGATAAGGTGATTCACAGATTCAATGATATATCAATCCACTTCTGACCAGACCTCCACAGCTTGGCAAAATGTAAGCTACAAGTGTCTTCTGATAGAATCTTCCTTCTCCAGCTAAGAGACCACTGGTTTTATGACATACAGAAAGTATACAGTTGCTCCCCTCCATATGGCTTGGGATTTACTTCTCTCTGGGTTACTTTTTAGACTGACACTAATTTTGGGAAGATGAGGCATGACTACAGCGTAACACTAGCCACTCATGTATGTAGGGGTCGGGGGATGAACTCTGTACACTTCAAAATAACAGTTCAGCTGCAGCTATAAGTTCAGATAGATTTAGTCCTATTTGAACTTCTGTTTGAGTCCAGTCTCTTGCTACTACACGTATTACATCATATAATCCCTTTCATAAACCATCTTAAATGCAGCTGTTTTATCCCACTAATTACTCTGGCTGGGAGTTTGTTCTACAGCCCCACTGCTTTGATAGAATACTCCTTCTGATTTTATGACTACATTAATTTACTATTTTATACCTATTTATTCTTGTTCCAAAATTGTCCTTTCCCTTCAATAGCTCCTCTTCCCTCCCTAATGTTTAATTCCTGATGCATTTATGGATAGCAAACCTATCCATAGCTATCCTATCCGAGGCTAAACAACCCAAGCTTTGTTAATCTTCTCTTGCATAGGATTTCCACTCCCCTGACCATCCTTGTAGCTCTTCTCTGCATCTTAATAAGTTAAGTAGAATCAATATAATCTGTCTTTAAATCAAATTAAGGGAGTTCTTGCAGAGTTTAGCCAAGGACTAAAAAGAACAAAAATACTAGCTACTTGCTAATAACATTCAGAAGGCTGTTCCAAGGACACACTTAGGCTGATAGCTGTTAGCAGAATTACAGAGGAAATTCCATCATAGGATTGCAAGGAAAATTTAACTCCCAGAAGACAGTGAAGACCAAGAATTAAGAATGGAAGAGTCTGAAGACCTTAAACATAATGACAGAAGGTCAGAAAGAATGGGCAAATTAACAACCTGAGCCCTATGCACTGTGGGGCCTCAGAAAGCCAACTTTCTATCCCTTCTGCTTCAAGAGTTATTCTCACATTAACCAGGCACATGTCTAGGGCCCTCCAGTGACTCATCCACAGATCAATTAAGTCATTAAAACTGTCTCTTAATCATACAAAGTGATCCGAGTGTTCAGAGAAGGGGCCCTAAATCACTATAAAAATGGCATATCATTGATATTTGTAGCATAAATGGTCATTAGACTAATTGGTTCCGAGTTTAATTCTCTACACAAAGTATAAAACTGTCCTTAGAGTCTTGATGCAACCATGGTATCTTAAATTAAGTGCTGTCAAAATTAAAGTCAGAGCGCTACTCATTAGCTTTGAGAAAGAGAAGAACAAAAATACATGACCAGCATGTAATCTCTTTAACCTTTTAGATAATTATCAGTAGAAAAAGTGTTAGTTTATTTTAATCAAATAATTCAGAGCCAAATTACATTGAGAGATTAAACTTTAAAACAGCGTCTTCTGCCCCCATCTCACCTTGCATGACCCTAAACAAAAACCTAAAAGAATTGTTCCTCTCTGCTTTAAGTGTTTGCTTTCCCCTCTGCTACAATACTTCAGTTGTTAAGAGGCTTGAAATCAGTAATCACTGTGAGGTGCACAGATGAAAACAGGACTCAAACATGAAAGATTAACTGGCAAGTTTAAAAGGAAAAGGCAAATCAGATTTGGCCCCCAAATTTAGCTCATAATCAAACTAAATCTTTATAAACAGTTTACGACAAAAATTTACCTTCAGGATATGAGCTGTGGACCCCACAGGTGGATGCTTCATCTATCTACCTTAAAACAAGTTTAATATACTTTTTTTTAATCAAATCATTCAGAATCAATTTCATTAACAGAGCAAAAATTATACCCCTCTTCCATGGCAGGATTTCAGTGGCTACTCAAGGGATCTGGATAGCCAACTCACATCAAGTTTGACCTGACATTGTCTCTTAGGGACCATTTTTCATTTTGGATGAGCACATATCACTTCATCTAGTGTTCATGAGAAGGTAAATGTGCAGTTAGAACAGACACATTTCACAGTTCTTCGATCCAGCTGGATAGGATTATTTCACACTGACCATTCACGTATACACCTATTCTAAACATCTGTGTGAAAACCAGACATTCTCTTACTGTCCCTAAATCAAGCAAGACTTGAGTACAGTATTTCTAAAACTACTGGCATTATTGCTGGATGCTGCAAGAGCCACTTACATGTTTTCTTTTACTGTGCGTACACAATTTGAGACAGTACAGGTTCAAACACGCTCAACTCTTTTGGAAATCTGGTTCCACATAAATTAACTGAAATTCTGAAAAGGGTAAGTCAAAAATCTCAACTAAGCAGAACAACAGCTTCCCCAACCTGCAAAACATACCTGCACAGGGAGTTACATTTCAAGGCGCTAGTGCCAAAGTTGTTTCCCACGTAAGAAAGCCTTTCGGTCTCGGAAGTCTAAAATGCAGGGGAAAAAAAGAGCTTTAGTGGAAGACTACTCTCTGCAATAATTCTCCTCAGGGACTAAGCTTTTTGCCAAGTTATTAAGTCCTGTTTTTCTTTGGTGCCAGATTTGTTCCATGTGAACAGGGTAAATTTATAACTTGTCTAATTTTAGGGAAACTTCTTCATCAATCCTATAGTAAATTTCCCAAATAACATCTTTTAAAAGAAAAAGAAAAGAAAAAGGAAAAAAGAATAAATGTCTCCTAAGGCTGAAAGAGCTCCCTCTACACCATAAGGTGTGTTCCAATGATGAATTGCCCTCAATTTACCAAGGATTATAGTGGATTTTTAATAACTGTCAAGTTATAAATTAATATTGAATGTTTTTTCTTAGTAGATAAGATGCTGTTCAAGTAAGAATTAATTCAAGAAAGTCTTACGACCAGCGTGATACAGAAGGTCAGACTAACTCAGTAATTCTCAACCAGAATTTTGTGAGATCCTTTGAAGGGTGTTCCTTTTAAGGGTGCACAGCGCCTACATGAAGAGGTAACTGCTTGCTCTCCTCCCCCTACCTGGCACCCTGTGCCTGCCCCAGCATCCTGAAGACAAGCAGTGCCCATAGCTCTTCTTCTGAAGGACTCTTGCTTGTGCTGCTGCCCCACCCTGCCCACATGCTGGTCACCACTGAGCTCTGAGCAGTACACTTTGCTCCAAGTGGGTGGGAAGGCATGCATCTGTGCTTCTGAGCCCAGCACCTCCCCTCCACTACTCCTCCCATGCTCCTGGAGCCTTGCTCACCCACTCAAGTACAGATCAGGGCCAGGGCGGAGGCAACTACTATCCTGGAATTCTTAAACAATATGAAAGCAAATATTTGTTAATGCTAGATACTTTTTATATGCATCCTCTTGTTTCTGACTCACTTTCAGTGCTGAACTAGTGAAGACACTGTTGACTCTGCTTGAATTAGAACAGGGTTGTCCAACTTCTAAGCATCCAGGGGCCACATTCTGTGTGGGCTGCACCAAGGGGCCATGAGTGCCCTGGGCCACAGGCCACACAGGCACCCCCAGCTCACTGGTCACGGACTCCCCAGCCGCAGCATGCTGTGAAGGCACTGCAGCTGCAGGCTCCCCTGGACACTATAGACTGTGCTGCCCTACCTTGCCCTCAGGACAGAAAGGGGAAACCAGAGGAGGGAGAGGGAGCCCACAATGCAGTGACTCTAGCTGCTGCAATCAGAGTGATGGGGGGAATGAGGGACAGGTAGGAGATTATAGGCTATAAATTAACTCCTTGTAGACCATGAGTTGGATAGCCCTGAATTAGAAGAGAGTTAACTGCTGCAGTGATTTCTGCTGGCTTTTCTTTTTTGACTAAAGGATTTGTTTCTTTTTTTATGCAATTGTAGAAATGTATCAAAGCAATATTCAGTTTGTGATGTTGGTCATAAGAGACATTTGACCAAGTCAGCTAATATTTGGTTGTTATGCCATTATAAAGAAATGTTTAGGTTGACTTAACATCTTCACAGGACCACTCAGTCCACTGCAGGGCCATTTTAATCCATCCTATGCATGGTGGCAGGATTTCATTGTGCCAAAAACAAATTCTGAAGGTTGTCAGTTCTCAGCTTGAATATTCCCATGGCAAAATACAATAGCTAATGCTGCTGAATTTAAGTAGTTTTAAACCTGGGGTGCTGTGAGATACTTCTAAGGGTGATGTGAGGTGTGAGGAAGTAAACACCGTAATGAATTAATGTTTTAACTGTGGTGCTGCTAAAATTAGAAACGTTATGGAGGTTGTACCTTGAGTCGAAAAAGGATGAGCACCACTGGACTAACTAATCAAAACCTAGCTTTATAATCTAGCAATCTAAAAACCTGAAAGGAAGGCAAATGTTATATGGGAATTATTGCCTTCATAGGTCAAGTTAGTATTTGGGTTAAATTCTGAGCGCATTTATTGTCATAATGAACTTTGGCATCTCAGTAATGTAACTCATGGTAAGATGCCTAGGTTCTCATATCTTGGAAGTCATGGTTTGTAGTAGTAACACTGTAACTAATTAGGATAAATATATTTTTAAACATAACCCCCCTTGGTATTAATCTGATATGTTATTGCCAAAGCTTTAGTTGCAAATAGCCTTCCAGTACAATTTTTCAAAACGTCTTGAAAATTAATTCTTCTCTTGGATGGAAAATTGTGGCTCCCATCTCAGCCCAAAGGTGTACTTTTGGGGAAACAGGAATGACAGTAAAATCAATATGGCAATGTAACAATGCAAGCTACAGCATAAGTTTCACTGTGCACATGCACATACACAGACCCAGACGCATTCTTAATAAAATAAAACTCTCTATGTGCCCATCAGAATCATAAACTGGTTGAATTTCAAAACTATCATTTAAGACACCAGCTCTGCAAACTGGTTGCAATTTATCCACATCCAGCAACTCACAGACTTAGGGATTAGATTTAAATATATATATATTTGTGCATCCACAGTATAAAAATTCTATCAAGTTTTTGATGGAGTAATTTATAGAACCACTGAGTTGAATGCCTATACAAAGCTGTGTAACTCCACAGTTAACACAGCTAAAGCTTTTCCTTTTCTGGTATAACTTGTTTCTCATTCCATTAAAATCAATCCAAAAGAAAGCTTTTGCATAAGACAATTTAATCAAAACAAAGATTACAATATTAAAACATGAGAGTACATAAATGTAAAAAAAATTCCATATATTTTTGCAATCATTATAACCTGTACACTCAGTAAGAAATTGTTTAAAAAACTATTATTATTAAACATTCACCCCGATATGTATAGGGTGAATCACTGTTACTTTAAGAATCCCTAACTGCACACATTTCATTTTCCATTCTCACAGTTGCAATAATATTTCATTTTTAATATACAGTCCAAGGCAATTCAAAACTGAAGCATACTGCATTAGTGAACATTTGATCCTAATTGGTATAAGCATATAATCAATAATAATTTCATTTTGTAATTTATCTATTGTGTCTTTTAAATTCAATTTTAAAAACTGTAGCTAAACTCCATAGTCTACACAAAATATTGAACTAGCAAAAGTATGGAGTTTCATCCTATTCATGCATCTGTTTCTGAGCTTTAACACAAGAATATTATGCTCTAATACCGGTCAGAAGTCTGATGTTCAGTGCTGCTTCTTAAGATTACACTGACATCTTGTGGCTTTGTATACTAGACTCCACATGTACACTTTATAGAGCAGGGAAGTTTCTAGCCTCAATGTGTGAACCATTACGTATATTAACAAGGGACATGCAGACAGCTTACTTAAAGGTTCAGGCAAAGCCTTCACTTACCCCATCACTCCAAATTTTCCACATAAATTTCTGCCCCCACCTTTTTGTGCATTCAGTCCTACACCGATTGCTAAAACCAAACAAACTTGCAGCCCTGAGTGGCAGGGTTTTATTTTAGGGCAGTGGTTCTCAGCCTTCTTAGGCTTAAGACATACATACATAACTCTTCTTAAGTTAGTGGCACACCATTTAAAAAAAATAATGTATGCATTGAAGTGTGTAAAAAATAACCTAACTGGAAATGAACTTTTAAACAAACTGGAAAAAAAACATGCAGGAATAACGATAATATTATAACTGATCTGATACATTTGCATAGTTGGGCTCCACTTGAGAATCACTGCTGTAGAAAGATACTATTGTAGCTCCTGTCACCATGAGGTCTTAACACCTTAAATCTTTAATGTATTCATCCCTGAAGCAATATGATGAGATTAAGGGTCAGATTCTACAACACTCTGAAAGTGTGAAATGGTACTCAGGGGTTTAAGTATGAGGTACAGAACTCGGACTCTTCAATGAAAAAATAAGAATCCTTCAAGGAACAAAGGCTTTGTGCAAAACATCACAAGTTGTAAGATTCACAAGAAAACCACAAGTTTGTCCAGCATGGTGCAAACTGCTCATTTTCAGCATATTGCCTAAAAGTGAGAGGAGAGAAAGGGTGGGGAGGAAAAAAACCTCAGCCCTATAAAATGAGGAGGGGAGGTTCTGTCCTACAGGGAGAGATGCCTTTGCATGGCAGATGGGTCCCTACTACAGAAAGGGACCAGCCCATGAGGTGTGGTGCAGCGCAGTGCAGTATGGCTTCATAGCAGTTCCCACTGGCTTGCCACAGGCCCTGTTCAAGATTCCCTTTGAGAAGAACCACCTGGAGTGGAATCTGCTGCCTTTCCCAGGGACCAGGGGAGAAAGGCTCAGCTTGGCTCTCCTAGCCAAGAGCTCCTGTCTGACTCTTAACCTTCAATTGCAGCTTCAGCCTGGTATATGAAGGAAAGAAAAGCAAGCGCAATTCCTGCGTTGGGTCCTAAAGAGACAGGCAGGATCCTGTCTTCAGAACGGCACTGATTTATGCTGCAGCCACTTCCAGGCTTAACCCAGCACTGTATCCTGGAAAGAGAAGTACAGCAGGATTGGCGCAGTACCCCTGAAAGGATCTCATGGCACTCCAGGGTGCCATGGCACTCTGGTTAAGAATCACTGTTTTAGAGGTTGAGTTTGCTTTTAATACACCCAAGGGTTTTACTGCCTATTTTCTTCTGTAAATGGATGTACTCATTTGAAATCTAGCTGTTGTTTTAAAAAGTTCATTGAAGTAGCTTCAGCTACTGTGGATGCCTCTATCTCTCTGCAACTGCAGGGTGTTTCACAATTAGATTTTTTTAAGAACTATTTTAATGGCTCTCTTAATCCTGGTTCTGTATGAAAAACAAACAAGAAGCCCCAACTAAACTAAACCTGATTCTATGTCAGACCCTCAAGAGCAGAAGCATACAACTGAGCCCAATTTTATCAGAAATGATGGTTTTCCATGAAGATTCTATTCTAGACTTATTTAATCTGGAGAAGAGAAGACTAAGGGGAGATTTAATAGCAGCCTTCAGCTCCCTGAAGGGTTGTTACAAAGAGGATGGAGCTAGACTGCTCTCAGAGGTGGCAGATGACAGAACAAGGAGCAACTGTCTCAAGTTGCAGCTAGGGAGTTTAGGTTAAATATTATGAAGAACTTTTTCACAAGGATGGTTGTAAAGGACTGGAGCAGGTTACCCAGAGAAGTTGTGGAATCTCCAACCTTGGAGGTTTTAAGACCCAGCTAGACAAAGCCTTGGCTGGGATGATCAGGTTGGGGGTGGTCCTGCTCTGAGCATGGGGTTGGTCTAGATGACCTCCTGAGGTCCCCTCCAACCCTAATTTTTCTATGATTCTATGACCAGGGCCCAAAACTCACTATACAAGAGCCACTTTGAGGGGACTGACAAGAGCCACTTCCACATAGTGATCCCTGGTAATGTCTCTGATAGCCAAGAGCTCCCGAATTGACAAAAATGCCAAAGTACCCAAAGACAAAGATACAGAACCATTTTTTCATACGAAAGAAGCCACTGACAATGGCACAGGAAACACAACCTGATTAAAAGAGGGGGAGAGTATCCTCCCAAACATGGGAATTATCCAACTGGATCATACCCAACCCTACTCTCATCCAATATCCTGTCTCCATATATGGGTAACATCAGATGTTCCAGGGGAAACCCCACAGTTTCATATGAGGGATAATCTACTTCCTATTTTAGGGCTCTTCTTCATTCTAAATATCTACACATTGGTTTAAACTGAAAGCATAAGGTTTCATCTCTCTTCCAAAATGTGTTCTTGTTTATCATAGGCTCAGATACTGTATATCTATATAGAATTTCTTTGAAGTCTGGTAATTTTAGGAGCTATCATTGTAAGAACAGTATATGTAAAAAGTCAGACAGAAGTGTTTTAATTTAACAATGTCCCCTTATATATTTCTACAACCTCCTGTCAAAAAACAGCCTTGCTTACAAGCACAAAACCTGGTTATAAAGGAAGGCCTGTTTGTTTCTTGACTGCTGAACAGAAATAGCTTGTACAACGATGAATCAACTTACCAGGATTCTCCTGTCCTTCTTTCTGGGATTAGTAGTATCTTTGCTTTTGTACAATGTGAAATTCATGTCTTCAGAATTCTGCAGTCTCCCATTTGAAAACTGAACTATAATAGATTAGGAAGGAGAAAACATTTGAAATCGTTTAACAGCAATAGCATTCTTAAAATAAAAATGTTTGTAACAACGCCAGGAAAGATCTTAATTTTATGAATAAAAATCTTGGGCAACCTCTCCTATATAAAGCTTAGTCTTAATTAATTCCAGAAGACATCATCATAACTAACTTGACCAGAGGTAGAATCCCATGAATTTATTTTCTTCTCTCCTATGTCCATTTCACTCACCAAACAGTGGCATCTTCTAAAGGTTTGCTTATGCACAAAAAGGACCAACTAAGAGAGATAATGAAGAACAAAATATCTGAAAATAGCTCCTTGTGTGAATGTGGTCCCAGAGTAAAGCAATTTTATTTCAAATAATTACCCTGCTTTGGAAGTCCACTGATTATTTTTGCATGATTATTTTTGCAATAACATAACTTTTATTGTGCAATAGTATCTGCATGGAGATATTATCTACTACTTCCATCAGTTTTCCAGGACTGCAAGATAATGAAGCAGTAAGAGCAGACCAAGAAGCCTGACATCACTGTTGTACAACTGAAATAACAGTGATTTTGCCTCGGGCGTTCGATGCCTTAGATTAGCACTTGTGAGGCTAGACACTAGTAACAGACATCACCAAACATGACTTTTAAGACTGTTATTTGCACCAACAGAGAACGTAACTGCGTGTGCATGTATGGAGGGGGAGGGAGGAGCATATAAATATCAAAGATGAGACCATCTACCTCCTGAGCTGCACCATTTAAATTAGTATTTTGGATGCTGAAAGCAGATATATTTCCTCAATGCTTAAAAAACTATGGAAATGTTGTTCCATTCATCTCTGCATGTGAGAATCTTCAAAGGGACCTCTCACAAGCAGGTGCTTCCCTGCTTCCTTAGGTCAGTGAAAAAGCTGCAAACACTTGCTGCCATAACAAAGCTAATATCAGAGAACAGATGACTTAAAGACAGCCAACCTGTCCACCAAACCACCTTCTAATTTTATGTGTCTTTTACTAACCATAGCTCAGGATTGCTGGAGGGTTTCTTGTTTAACAGCTAAAAACTTGTTTTCTTCTTGAAATCCCATTGCGTAACATTTTTCGCACATCCAAAGTCAAACCAGTACTGCTTGTACAGTGGTCCATGTCAGCAGGCCTGTGTGATGTACCAGTCACCACCTCTAACATGAGAAACAAGTTGGTTCTAGCTATTAGACACGCCACTGCTTTGCCTTCCACCCTACTCTCTCCCTTGGTGGCAACAGAGTGAGTCCTGTCCACACAGATTCACAGAAGTTTAGGGCTGGAAGGGACCTTGTGAGATCATCGGGTCCAACCCCCCAGCTGTAGGCAGAAAATACTGCTGGGATCAAATAACCCCAGCAAGGTGCGTGTCCAGTCTCCTTTTGAAGATCTCCAAGGTAGGTGCCTGCACCACTCCCGCTGGGGGTCTATTCCCAGGGTCTGGTCACACAAATTGTGTAGAAGTTTTTCCTTATATCCAGTCTGAAACCTTCTTCTAGGAGTTTATAACCACTGCTCCTGGTTTTCCCCTGGGGCGCTTTGGTGAGTAGTTGTTTGCCTAGCCCCTGATGCTCACCCCTGATATATTTGTAAGCTGCCACCAAATCCCCCTGGAGCCTTCTCTTTTTCAGGCTGAACAGTCCCATATCTCCCAGCCTTTCCTCATATGGCTTGCTCTTCAGGCCTCTAATCATATGAGTGGCTCTTCTCTGGACTCTCTCAAGCTTCTCCACATTGTTCTTGAAGTGTGGTGCTCAGACCTGGATGCAGTACTCCAGCTGTGGTCTCACCAATGCCGAGTAGAGCAGGAGAATCACTTCCTTAGTTTTGCTTAAGATGCATCGGTTGATGCATGCCAGCATATTGTTTGCTCTGCTAACTGTAGCATCACACAGGAAGAGAGGGCCCTGCCAGTTCAAATTTAAGCTGGCTAGAAACCAGTTATAAAGTTGTGACACATTTTCAAGCACTAACCGTGCAGCCTGTTGACTCTTTTTAGAGCTGGGAGGTCATTTTTATAGCATGATAATTATTTTGGTGGGGGGGGGGCAGTTGTCTACATTTTATTTATTTAATAATATATTTCATGTACCAGGTCAAATTAGCCAAATCAGTTCCAAATCATATCCATTGAGCAGAACTTGATCGTTCCAAAAAACCATACTGATTGAACAGGCAGAACTCAATAATTCTAAACACAAGTATGCTGCTACAACCAGCGAGCGTCCTCCATCCCAGCCTCTCACTCTGGTACTTCAGGTACTCCCAGCTCCATTGGCAGGCATCCTATGCACAGGCCCAAGCCCAAAGGTCTTGGGATTTGGATGCCCCCAGACATAGGCTGTGGAATGGGGTGGGCCACCCGGGCCATGGCCCAACCAACTTTTAGCACGTTAATTTATAAAACCAACAAATGTGCAATTTTGTCATTCTGGTTAAAACTGTATAGCTGTTTTTTTAACTGCATAGTTAGCTAAATAGCAAGCTATACTTCCGCTTTGTTTGTGCCTGATGTGATGTTTCCGACTGACGTGTCATTCCGTAAGTTGCCTGTGCATATGTCCCAGCTAACGGCACAAAAATGCATTAGTGTAAACATAAAGTAAGAAATCAGTGGTGAGAGCTGGGGGGGGGGAAATGGTTTGTTTGGCCCCACCCCCAACCAAAAAAGGTGTTCTGCAGCCCCTGCCCCCAGATACTACAGATAAACATCCTCCAGCCCAGACTCTTTAGGCAGGGACTTCAGATACTTCCTACACTGGACCATGAGAACAGATTTACTTTATTAGAAAATGTTAAAGTTTAAGGTTACAAAGTTCAAAGCAAAGGAAATAGAAAAGCACCCCAGCAAGGGGCTACATAGTAGAGGACAGGGGGTAGGGAGGGGAGCACACAAAGTTACATATAAAACATGCAGGCAATCTGAACTTGATGTTGCTACATGCCGCCCATTTGACATACAAAACATGAGGCCACCTCAAACTTCATCTGGCTACACGCAGCCCATTTGAGCAGGTTCACTTTATTAGAAAATGTTGAGTGACAATGACAAGGCCATAAGGGAAAAAATCCAGAGTGCCCCAGGAGGGATGGGGCTGAGGAAGGGCTCGTACACTTGATCTTATAAGGCCCACCAGAGGCTGAGAACATTTATTGGGCGTTCCGCCAGTGAACGGGGCCACAAACCTAAGGCAGGGGCCAGAGAGAGACTCCGGCTCCAAGCCCACGCAGCAAGGGTGGCTCAGGGAGCCCCCGCCCAAGCACCTCCACCTCTGCACCGCAGCCAGGCCGCCAGGAGGCCGCGAGGCTCCGGTCTGCTCCCGCTGCCAGCCCCGAGCCCGCCCGTGGCGTCCGGCACGTGGCGCCGCCCGCAGGGCGCCCGCACTCACCCAGCAGCGCGCTCTGCTCGTCCCGCGGGCCCCCGCGGTAGCTCCACACGGCGGCAGCGGCCATGGCGCGGCCTCCTCCTCCTGCGCCAGCGGCCGGGAAGGGAGGAGTCTGCGCCGGCAGCCGCCCGCCCTGCGAACAAACGGGGCCCGGCTCCTACCTCGTCTGTGGGGACTTACGAGCGGGTCCTGAGCTTTTGCTGCCTCGCTCGCAGCAGGAGAGAGCGGGGGCCGTCTCGGGAGAGAGGAGGGGCGTGTACCCGGCCGCGCTGGGACAAGAGGAGTCTCGCGAGAAGGATGCCCCTTGCCCGGTGTGGCGCGAGTGGCTTGTCTGGTGTCTTGACGCGGCAGGATTCCCGCGCGGGCCCTGCCATCGGGACGGGACGGGCCGGCTTGTGGGACCCTGCGAGCCGCGTGTGTCCGCCGGGAGGAGGAGCCCCTTCTTCTTCTTGCAGCGCTTCCCAAGTTGTGACCTGGCAGGCGAAACACCATGGGCTTGACCAACGGGTTTTAAACCCGAAAGCTTGCTAAAAAAAATGGGTTTTTTTCCAACTATTTAAGGTGGTCTAATAAAAGATATCAGATTCACCCGAAAAACTTGTCTGCCTGGGTCCACGGAGGCAGTTTTCCTTAAGTGCTCCCGGGGATAACTGCTTTTTCTGGCGTGGTTTCGTATCCCCTGAGGTGTTGGGACTTAAAGCTGAGGGCAGGCAACGCTGGGCGGCATCCAAACCCTGAGCCTCCAGGCTTGGGCCTGCACATAGGATGCCTGCCAAAAGACTTTGGAAATATCTGAAGCCCCTGGTGGAGGTGGAAGATGTTTGCCGGGCCACTTATGGTTCTGGACTGACTCAGATTTATTTGGCCTTGATTTGGCTGGAAACAAAAAAATTCTTTAAAAAAAAAGCTTTCAAAGTTCACAGGCTAAAGGCCTCTCTTCTCCTTTGAGGCTACGTTAGTTCAGTGCACACATAATGTCCTTTGACAGCTCTTCAGCAAAACCACATCCGTTTGGAATTGCTGCTTTCTGTGCGCCAAGCCTTTGGAACCCCCAAACCAATCTGGAAAAACAGCAACCTGGCCTTTCAAATTGAACCAGGTATATTTAACACCAGTGTAAGGGTGGCTTTACGCTATGGTAGTGATTCTCAACCAGGCTCCCAGGAAATCCTTGTAAGGGAGCTGCACAATATTAGCACTGTTAGGTGTGCAAACACCTACACGTGGTTCACAAAATAAACCCAGAGATTTCAATTAAGAACTTCTTTCCAACTACTCAGTTGGTCTAATAAAAAATATGACATCTACTCAAAGAACCTTGCCTAGTGAGATTTCAACTAGGAATCCATGGTCTCAAAATCATTCTGACCTGCTGTAGTTTTTCTGAGTTCTTTGCAAGAGAATCACTCTATCAATTTTCCATAGCAAAATAAAGAAATACGTTTTTAAAACGGGGTTCTCTAAATTCAAAAAAGTTCTGGGGAGGAGGTGGAGGGCTTACATCTAAAAAACATTGAGGACCCGCTGTAAGATCAGGTCTAGGACCTGTCTATGGTACCAAGTAGATTTAGTGGAGCAGTGTCCTAGCTGCAGTGAATGTGGGACCTCTTCCGTGTTACCTTTATGCAGGAACAGATAGCAGACTGACTTAGGGTTTTGTTTGGGGGGGTGTTCTTTTTCCTTTTTTCTTTAAAAAAAAAAAAGCTCTTTTTCCCACTGATCAAAGTCCAGCCAATTTAAGCTTTGTTCTAGTCCCCTGAGCATAGTTTAGCTTTCAGCAAGGATGTTTTCTTCTGCTCTTCCACCATGAGGATGCACTGACATCTGTTCCTGGTTCCTGTCCTTGCATTATCTTTGATGTACTATGGAAGGGAAAAAAACCCCTCTTTTTGTTGCACCCAGCAAAATCTATGGAACCTTGTATTTTATCTGGAGAAGTACAAGAGAAGCCAAAGCAAGCTCGCCCAAACTATACACAGGTGCACTGGACTACTAGCAACCAGGCAACATTACCAAGAGCAGCTACACAGAACAGGCAGATGTAGTCACTACTGAATTGCCCCCCTGCCACGTTCCCAGTTTTCCTCTGCCAGTAGGAAAACCATCTTGGTGGTCCCAGTATTTCCCCTGCCTGATAGTTACCCTCCCACTAGGGACTTCCAGTGGGAGGATCTCAGCTACATGCTGAGTTTATGGAAATGGGGGTGGGTGACTCGTCCCTAGCTTGCTCCTGCAGCCGTACGGCTGAGGACAAGCAAAACTTGGGAGTGTCCAAATCCCAAGTCTCCAGGGTTGGGCCTGCAGGTAGGATGCCTGCCCAAGGATTTGGAAGCATCTGAAGCCCCAGGCAGGGGTGGAGGACGCTTGTTGGTAGCAAGACCCACGTGTGGCTCTTGAATGATTTCTGTGGATTTGGGTTTGATTTGACCTGGGACACAAAACATTTTCCATAAAAAACAAAATACAAACTAAAAGTCAGTTAAGATTCCCCGAGAACTGGGTTTTGCACATTTTTGGTTTCGCAATTAGCTCCTTCAAAAATCATCATCTATTTTGAACTCTTAGTATTATAGATCGTACATGCCACAAGGGCTGGAACTACCCTACAGATACGATAATTACGGTGCCCCTCGCAACAACAGCCCTGTGCTTGCGTGCCCCCGGGGGGGAGGGGTCACCCAGGCTCAAGCCACCGCCCCTGCGCCCGACGTCTGCACGGGACAGAACTGCCCCATCCCGGACCACACAGCTTAACGACTGCGAACGCTTGGCCGCTTTCCCCTTGTTTTGGACGGACCCGGCCAATCAGCGGCCGATGTCTTGATAAACCCTAGGGGCACCGCGGAGTTATCAGTAAGCAGCCGCGTGACTGGCTAGGCGAGTCCCTTTGGGCTCCAAGGGCCGCGAATCGCGGTCTGTGATTGGCCGGGACGCCCGTCTCCCAGGTGGGCTCGGACGCTTCCCTCCCCCCACCCCGCCTCGCTCTCCCTGGAGTGGCCGGGACACGATGGCGTCATTTCCGGCTGCCGGCGAGGCCGCCGCAGAGTAGGAGCTGGAGGGGGTGGGGGAGGAGAGCGGCGCGCGCGCCGGAGATTGAGCTGCCCGGGCGGGCCCACAGCAACGGGCGCCGCCGGCCGCCGCCAGCTCCTGGCGTAGGCCCCTCCCGCCGGGACAGCGCGAGCCGCGGGGGGAGGGGCTGCGCTGCGCAGGTGAGGCGAGGCGAGGCGACGCTGGGGGCGGGGGAGCGCGCGTGTAGGAC